AGGAATGAAAGTGGAAAAACTATCCAAGACAAGGTTTGTTTTGCACCTTTTTTGTATTTGGTTTATTTTAAAACATATATTCATGGCCCTATTTAACATGTGTAGATATCAGACGCTTTGGAGCTGTACAAGGAATTAGACAAGGAGAAGAAGTCATTTAGTCTTGTACCTTGTTGGAACAAATTGAAGGAAGAAAACAAGTGGAAAGCCAAGAGGGTGGAACTGGCCGAGCAAGAGAAGCTAGCAGCCAAGAAAAAACAGAAGGTGCACATAGACTCGACGACAAGGAATGAGGAATGTCGAAGCCACAATCACTGAAGATGTCACAGAGATTGCAGCTCAAGAATGTGAAGAAAGAAAAAGGCCACAGGGTGTCAAGAAGGCAAAAGAAGCTCTTAAGCGAGGACCTGGCGAAGCTTGCATGGAAGCTTTGGACAAGATGTTGGCTAAGAAGGAGGCATTTGACTTGGAGAGAGAGAAGAAGAAAGATGAAAGGTTCCAGGTTTCACTTGAGCTAGAGAAGAGACTGGAAATAGAACAAAAAAGAGCTGAAGCGGACTTGCTCAAAGAGGAAAAAGAAATAATGCAGATGGACATGACCTCTCTCTCACCCCGCTGCAGCGACAGTACTACGAAACAATGCAGCAGCAGATCATCGCTCGACGTTTGGCAAATTAGATTTAGTTCAATTCATTTAATTTGAATAAGCAGTAAACATTTGTTTTGGATGTGATTCGGAGAACCTTGTTTCTCATATGTTGCTTTTGTTTAGTACTGTGGCATTGTGATTCACTGATAGCACACAGAATTTACAGGTAACACACAACATACTCAATGTACTGATAACGCACTTTAAAAAAATATTATTCATTACAGTAGACTGATAACATAAAATGATCTTAATAATTAAATGAAAATGTAATATGTAGCTAATATAAATCCGGATGATGGTTCCATAGGTGCTCGATGAGGTCTTCTTTCAATTGGAAATGTGCTTCATGGTCTCTAATCCTTTTATGAGCATCAATAAATTCTGCAAGTGGTCGAGTAGCCTGGCCACGATTAGGTTGCACATTTTGACCACCATAATCGAACCGCTCATCAGGGTCGACGAATCCTTCATCTTCAACAACCATATTGTGCATGATCACACAGGCCCTCGTGATCAAAGCAAGTGTCTCTGTGTCCCACAAGCGAGCTGGTCCTCGAACAATGGCAAACCTAGATTGTAGAACCCCGAAAGCTCTTTCCACATCCTTCCTCGCTGCTTCTTGTGCTTTGGCAAAATATTTGTTCTTGTTCCCCGTAGGTAGAGAGATGGACTTGACTAAAGTAGCCCATGAGGGGTATATACCATCTGCTAGATAATACCCTATGGTGTAATCATGACCATTAATGGTGTAGTTCACATCTGGAGCTCTACCCTGTGCCAGGTTTGCAAATAACGGAGACCGATGAAGGACATTGATGTTATTATGCGACCTAGGCATTCCAAAAAAGGCATGCCATATCCAAAGGTCATTCGAAGCAACAGCTTCTAAAATGATAGTGGGCTTCTCCACATGCCCCTTGTACTGACCCTGATGTTCGACTGGACAATTCTTCCACGCCCAATGCATACAGTCAATGGACCCTAGCATTCCAGGAAAACCCTTTCTCTCACCGAGTGCCAGTAAGTGTGCCGTGTCTGCCTCATTGGGATGTCTCAGTTACTCATCTTCAAATAAATCAACAACTGCAGCAACGAACCTACGTAGACTCTCAAGTGCAGTACTCTCTCCAATGCGAACATACTCATCTGTAGCATCAGCGGGAACCCCATATGTGAGCATACGAAATGCAGCAGTGACTTTTTGGAAGCAACTTAATCCAAGTACGTTAGCCGCATTTCTTTTTTGCACAAAGTAATCATCATGTGACTCAACAGCATTCATTATGCGTAGGAAAAGCTCCCTACTCATCCTGTGCACCAAGAAAAATAAACAAAAGTTTAATAACACATATAATACTTAAGTGCATAGTACGGGCAATCAAAGGTGAATGACCACAAACCTCCGACGGAATAAATGTGGTGCATGACGTTGGATTATCCGCCAAATAATCTTGAAACATCCTTCGATGGCCGCCTTCTCTATCTCGATAAATAACGGCATGGCGAGGATAGAACCACCGGTCTTCGTTTATGACCGAAAACGTTTGGATAATTGCAGCGATTGCGATGATGAAATAATCATCGTCGTCTCAAGATGAATCATCCTCCAATTCTCTTTGGAGAAGTGATTTGACACCACTCATGATGTCGCTCGGAAATGACAATTGTACAACATCAATCAATGCGTGCATAGCACCCGACCATTCCCAAAACACTCAAGCATCGTGTGTGCACGATGGATGGCCAAGGATGGCCGCCTGCGACTCTGCCGGATGGCGACCAGGAGACCTAACGACGCCCCACGGCGACCTGATCACGGCGCCCCAAGATGGAACCACGACACGCCAGGAGGAGAAGTACCGGCGATGGAGAAGTACCAATGATGAACCACGACCTGTATATGGTTGCCGCTGGGACTTCCGGTGGCACTGGGCAGAGACACAAGTACCAGCCGATGGACCTGCAGGGAGGAGACAAGACCGGCCAGGAAGGATCTGCCGCCGTCAAGGAGTCGCGACACGAAGGAGATGGCGGCGATGTTTTGGCGCGACGACGCGAGTAAAAATTCGCGCGGAAAGGCCTTCATCCCGCGACAAAAACCTAGCTCGTGGGCCCAACTTTTCAGATTGGCAAGTGAAATTTGGCAAACTATTGGAGATTGATCTTTTTTTCCTTTGGCAAAACATTTGGGGAGTTGCCAAACTACAAGATTTGGGAAACAAAAAATCCCAAACTGTTGGGGTTGCTCTTACAACGGTTGTACCACCCCTCCAGGTGTGGCGTTGTGAAATAGAGTATTTTTCATTCAATACCAAAATTTTAGTTGTGCACATGTTGTAGTTATTATATTAGTAAAAAATTTAGATCAAAAAGACAAAAAGTAACAAAAAATCCCAGACTTAGCTTTTTTTTTGGAGAAGAATCCCAGACTTAGCTGTGGTCAGGCACCCAGGTTCGAATTGCGCTGTGACGGTTGCTTTTTATTCCGAGAAACAAATAATTAACTAATGTTTTGGGCTAGGCCACAACATTTCGCCCTCAGAAGTCTGGCCCACCTTTCCTTGCCAACGCGGCCCGCCCAGACCCACGGAACTACCTCCCTACTTTGTTGTCTCGTTCAGACTTCACGGCTCATTTGGTTCGGGGTAACGGGGGGAATGGAAGTTCAGAGACAGGAGCTTACAAATCTCTTATTTATGGGAAGGGGAAGAGAAGTTTAGAGGGTTAGCTTCCACTAATCAATTCTCTAGGGTGTGTTTGGCAACTACGTTGGAAGAGGCATGGGAATTAGTGGTGGGAGTTGATAGAGAGAATTAAAGTGTGAAATTGACTTTTAGTCCCAATTTCTTGTTTGGTTCGTGAAGAGAAATAAGAAGAGGAATTGAAGAGGGAATTCATATCGTGGTTTTGAGGGAGAAATTAAAAGGCAAATCATGATGGACGGTGCGGGTCTACTTTTCTTTGATTAAGAACACAACTCCCACCCAATTTTCACCGTAGGGAATTAGGTAGGAACCGCATCGTCCATTATAATTTGCCTTCTAATTTCCCCCTCAAAACCCCGATATGAATTCCTTCTTCAATTCTCCTTATTTCCATTCACAAACCAAATAAGAAATTGGGACGAAAGTCAATTTCCCACCTTAATTCCCTGACTCTCAGCTATCCCATGCCTCTTCCTACGACCCTTGAGACAGGGGATATTTTAACTTTTTGACATCCTTACAGATGGCACTCCTTCGTTTGCCATTTTTACACGGACACCTACACATTTGCCAACAGTAACCCTCCTGTTTTTTTGTCATTTTTGTTGATGTGGCATGCCACGCAGTTAGCCAGCGTGGCAGCGCCTCTCCTCCCGCTGCTACTTCTCTCTCCCTCCACTCGCTGACATGTGGGCCCCACTAGTCAGGTTCATCTTCAACCTCTGGCCACCGAAGAAGGGGCGAATCACGCCCTGGACGCGCTCGCCGCCGCCTCTACGCAGGCCCTCGCGCCGCAGACATGCCCCGACGCTGACCCGCTCCCACTCCCTACTCTCTCCGATGGCGACCGCACCCGCGCCCACGCTGCTTGTGGGCGCAGTCTCCTCACAGGGCTGGCCAAAGCAGGGCGCGTCCACGCGCGGTGTCGTCCTAGGGGCGCGCGGGCCTAGGGCGCCAGGGCGGCGATGGTAGGGGCCACGGAGGAGGCCGACCACTGGGCGCGGGGCGGACACAGCCGTGGTCGGAGCCGAAGCCGGAGCCTCGCCGTGGTGCACGAGCGCGGGGGAACACGGTCGTTGAGTCCATAGACGAAGGAGGAGGACACCCCCACGATGCCGGTGGCACCTGTGACGAGCACGGACAGACCGGCGCCCTCCGCGGACCCGGGAGGCCGCCGCGGCGAAGCCGACGCTCGGATCTGGCACTCCCAGTGCAGCTCGCCCCAGGATGCAGCGAAGTAGCGGGAGGAGGTGTCGACGAAGGAGTGAACGCTCAGGTATGTGGCCGTCATGGCCACCAGGAAGAGCCCCCACAGGAACATGGTCCCCCTCCCGCACGCATGCTCGCCCCTTCTTCGGTGGCCAGAGGTTGAAGATGAACCTGACTGGTGGGGCTCACATGTCAGCTAGTGGAGGGAGAGAGAAGCAGCAGCGGGAAGAGAGACGCTGCCACGCTGGCTGACTGTGTGGCATGCCACATAAAAGAAAATAGTAAAAAATTATGAGTGTTACTATTTGTGATGGCAACACGTAGGTGTACTTGTAAAAATAGCAATCAGGAGTGTTATCGGTTAAAAAAGTTAGATGTCCCTCGAGACAGAGAGTTGGGGAGGGGAAAAAAAAGATCGGCGGTGACTGATGGCGATGGCGATGGCGGCGGCGCAAGCGGAGGCGGAGGAGGAGCTGCGGCTAGAGCTGGAGGCCGTGGCGGCGGTGTACGGGGACGAAGTCCGCGTGCTCCTCGACCTCCCGCCCCACCTCGTCGTCCACGTGCGGCCCCGCACCGCCGACGACTCCTCGCAGCAGGTCCATCTCGTCTCGTCTCGCCGCACCCCACCCCACCCCCTTTGCCTCCATCTCTCCCGATCGAGTGACGGGAGTCGCGGATAGACGAATCGCGTGCTCGATCGGCCGGTTGGCCGGCCCGCTGCTCTGCCCGGTAGTATTATTCGGTAGTAGCTGGTGGGGGAGTTGCCGTATTTTCTGAGCTGAACCCTAGCTGTTGGAGGAGAGGGGGGACGTTAGCTTTTGGTTGAAGTTTAGGCCTTCTAGTTGCAGGATTTAGGTTTTTTGTGGTTAGCCCTTCTGGGCTTGCAGATTGATTAAGTTTATGGTATATACATGGTATCGTCATCCTGATGCTATTGTTTTAGTTAATAAGATTACTCTGATCAATTGTTGCAATGTGTTGCCATGGTTGACCTGATGCCGCTGTCTTGGCAGGGAAAGAGCCAAGAGGGTATATGCTTTGGTGCTAAGTTGTTTCCAGTTGTTCGAACAGTCAAGTGCACTTTCTGGTCAATTACGCTATGCTACAATTACAAATTTCGAGCCTTTATGATGGAATCTGAACTTGGAGGACTGGGATACTAAGCAGGAGAGCTACTATGCTTGTAGGATAGGCTGTAGTTTGCCACGTGATTCCCTATGAGCTGCTGTTTGATCTCTTGCAATGATAATCAATTAATCATAATTGAAGGCTTTGTACAAATGCCAGCAGTAACTTCTTGCTGCTTGTCTTATTGAAAACCCCTTCTTGTGCATTTTCCATGAGCTTTGAAGTCACTGTAATTGTGGCATCTCTCATTTTCCATTGTATGAGATTGAAGGCATAGAGATTCTTTACTGTTTATTTCTTAAACTTAGACATTGCTCATGTTTTCCAATCCACGCTGGTACTGTGACCAACATTTGCCCTAAATAACGCTCCTTCCATTAGGAGTTATACATTATAATTTATTGTTTTTTTGTGTGTTAATTTGGTTTTTTCTCTTTCAGTTTGTGGAGCTCTTTCTTGGAATTAAAGCATCTTCACAGGTATGAATCTACCACCTTTCAATATTTTCATCTGGTGTGTATCCCTATCTAAATTCTAGGTACTTCCTTTTTATGGAGAACTTTTATGGAACAAATGTTCAATTTTTTTGATTTCCTTTACAAATTATAGTCAGTGGCTGCTAGTTTTATAAGTGCCTATTATAAGTTTGTAAACTTTGTTTACCCTTGTGTTGTTCATCATTGTAACGTGCAAATCCTCATATTGCCATGCATTATTGGTTAGGTAGCTATGGTTAAGTATATTACATGCTAGTTAATGCCTCAATGATTTTCTTGTACATGTAAAAATGTATGTTATCCATAGAAATAACGAGATTTTTGAAAACCTCTGTTTTGAAATAATGTGAACACACAACATTTTTCCTCTGAAATGTCTGTCTTGGAAGCACTCATAGGGTTTTATCATGCAGAAACCAGTGTGCCTTTTTTTCTCTCAAGTGAAAAGGACACACATTGTAGTATTAGCATCATAGGTTTTGAACAAAAAACATATGTAGTATGAATAAGATTAGTGGGGAACGCATTTCCTAACTTTATGACCACTGTAAATTTCACATTCAATTCTATGTCATAAGAGTTTCAAATTACTAAGCTCATATGATTGCTAAATATGCTTGAACATTATTCTACAGTATCATCCTGTGCAGCTGCCATCCTCTTGGGCATAACCTTGTTCAGTATAGTTCATAATTTGTTATATTTTTTTTGTACTGTTCAATGTTGGATTGTCGGTGCACTATGTATTTATGGCATAGCCACATTGAATTTGCAGTATCCGAAGGAACCACCACATATTTATGCTGTGGAAAGTAAGGGCCTTGACGAGAATCGACAGATATATCTTATTACCAGCATCCAGAACAAGGCAAAAGAACTTTCAAACTACCCAATGCTTGTGACGTTGTGTGAGGTATTTATTGTCTTTTGCTTTGTGTACGGTACATAACAATGATTTTTTAATGTCTTGATGTTCCGAAGACTTTTCACTCATAATGTGTCAGTTGAAACAATACATGCATTTGCACCTATACTCTAAAGTGTCTTGAGTGCCTGATCTCAGTTTTCTTTACCTTTACAGATTCCTCTTTATTTTTATATAGGAAAGGATGCAATAAAATGACATCTGTGTACTATACTAAACTCTTGAAACTCTGGTATCTTTAGGCTACTATCAGATGACATTTTCTTCTTTTTAAAAAAAAACTGTACCAACCTAGAAGGACAAGGTGACATTGTAAATATGAAAAAATAGGAAGGCAGAGTCAAAGAGGATAACAACCTGGGTTGCATCCACACCTTCTAATAGCTCTAACTATGTTTAGTTCCTTCATTCGAAGATATTATTCAATGATTTGTATGTTAGCTTTAATTGTAAGAAGTGATGAAAGAACAAGAAATGCTGCAAGTTTGTTTTATAAAATACTAAACAAAGTCTTGTGTCCGAATTCCCCAAAACATACCAACACATCCTCTGAATAATTCTGTAACTAGAATCAGTTAATAACCATGATAAGAATTGTTATTCCAAGAGGATGGATCGTGTTCCCATATCTTTCACATGATCTAAGTAAGTTTGCACGCAGGAAGCCGGAGAGATCCTCTCGAATATGAATCATCCAGCTGGGGATTGTCCATTGTGTCTATATCCTTTAGTGGGAGAGGATAAGGTTGGATCTGAATTTCCATTTATGAAGTTGATGTCATGCTACCACTGCTTCCACAGGTTGACAAAGCTGTACAATAGTGAAGCAATTTATTCTGTCTAGTTTGTAGCTTACTTTTGCACTTTTCCATTATAGTGACTGCATTATGAGATGGTGGGAATGGCTCCAACATGGTGACGCCAACCTGAAGGAGCGTAATACTGGAGGTGCTGACATTATTTCTCGTTTAACTGTTTTGAATTTTGAGTATATTTCTTAGTTATGTTGATGTTTGATATTAATATCATTCCCATGGTGTTTGCCTGATATAAAGTCGAGTATGCTCTCTCTTATAAATTGCACAGGGATTCTAGGCTTCTCGTCCATTTTCAAACAAGGATAATTACATTCTGGTAGCATTAGTTTACTGACTTACTACTGTAGGGAAGCACATTAAGTCTGCAATATTATTTCTCGCATACAATGGCATTTAGCATTCTGGCCTCAATGCTGGAAATGTGACAATGTAAATCCTTCCATACATGTATTTAACACTTTGGTTTGTTGGTTTGATATGCTAAACATTGTTAATCTTAGCTTGTGCAACTAGTTATTGATGCTTCTAAGGGTTTCAATTTGTCCAGCTCAGACAAGCATTATAATGTGAATCAACCAAGAGGATTTTGTCCAGTTTGCCGCAAAGTGTTCGATGAAAATGATATTGAGCATGTTCATGATCTGTTGGGTGACAATACTTCCTGGCTGGTATGTATGAGATATGATTCATGCAAAATTGCACCATTCCTATTCCTACTTTTACATACATTTGTAGTTTAGTTTCACTCCATCCAAATATTGATCATGATATTTAGAGGCCGAATCAACATTTTCGTTCATATTGTCACTCTAAACTATGTTAATGAGACCAACAATAACGCTTTCTGTATTTGTCTGTTCACCTTCAGGCATCGTTAACAGGTGACCTCGGTGAAGATGAAACGGAATTACTCCATTCTGAGGCAGAGCAAAACAGGAGAAAAAGAATTGAGTCAATTGTTAATCTGCAGCAAGAACGAAACGGCCTGATTGAACCAAAGAAAGACCTTGCCATACAACCAGGAATGTATGTTTCTCTTCCTCCCAGCATGCCAGAAACAGCTGAAGAAGATAATGCTGATCCCAGCAAAGACACTGCTACTTCAACCTCAGAAACAGAGCAACGTGGCCTGGCAAACAACACCAGTAGCAATAAACCCAAGAATTCAAGCTATCGAAGGAGAAACAGAGCTAATGCATCAAGAAGACAGCCTCACGGCCAGCCACCTAGGCAGCAGTGGCAGAGGAAAGAAGCAGACACTTCACACCAATAACATTGAAGCAATGAGGAGGATGTGACTTGTGAGTTGTTTTTATCGGTTATGTATATTAATGTCATGCCCTGCATTTGTTTCATAATTGTGAGGCATGACACGGCAATGTTTTGGCTCTGCTATGACAGTTTTATGCTAGGGGTACTCTGGAAAAAACCCTGCACTGCATTTGAAACTTGTATAAAACAGCATGCTTGGCTAGTACACACTGTATTTGATTTTTTTTTTTTGTGTCATTGCCAGGTACTATGTTCAAATTGCTTGGCCATAGTCAGAAAAGAAGCGGATTACTATTTCTTATTCCTTGTTCTTCAAGTTGCATTATGTGTTTGCTTGAAATACATAGATTAGACGCAATATTAGGCTTCAGGCTTTCCGTGCTGGTATGCAAAATTTGCAGGGGGACTGTCGGTAACCCATTAAAAATGTATTTGAATATCTTAATGTTGGTCGAGGTACTGTATATTACAAATTTACACACAATGCATTTGAATTTCCATAGCAATTATCTGGTTCACCACGAATAATACAAAAGCACATGCAGAAGGTACTATTATTTTGTCTTCTACTAAAACATAACACTTCAATTACACCCAAGTTGCATAAATGCTCATGTTGCTTCATTATATAGTTTTGCACTTCTTATTTTTTTCCACTATAGTTGCTTCATGATGCTTAAATTGCGGTTGTCTGCCTGGTCCGTCCTGCCCAAGAAACAATCACAAGCGCATATGTTTTGTCGCCTGAAGTGTCGGAAATAAGCAATCCTCCATCGTTTCATGAATAGTCCGCATCCAAGTCCAATGTAGAAGAATTCTAGCCCTGGATCTTCTTCAGTTCTTGTTGAGTGACCTTGCTTGAGCAATTGTTTTCAAGAGGAGGCCCACAAAGGCCGATGTTGCCCGTATACATGGAGGGATTTGCTGCATAGAGGGTGTCAAGCTGCGATCCAGATGGTATTCTTCCGGTTAGATTGTTGTATGACAAATCCATATAGCTTAAGAATGACAAATTCGATAGACTTGTAGGTATTTCCCCGTTAAGCATGTTCCTAGTGACTGCATTGTCCCAATCTTGTTGGGTACATTTCCACTGAAGTGGTTTCGTGAGAGATTCAAATTTGACAATGCAACTAGGGACCTATTTCTTCTGAAACTTCACCCGTCAAGTAGTTCGAAGACAAGTCGATGCTCATCATGTCCAAGAATAATCATCACGCTCGGATCATAGTTAAATTGATGCCCCTTTTTATTTTCTGTCAAATTAATACCAAGAGATACTACTATTCCGGGATAGTCGCAGAAGGCCCGTGTGTACTGCCCTGGCTGTATACTAGCTTGGTAAGTCCATGAAGTTCCTAGGCAATGAACCAGATACATTATTGTCTGACATATCCAAATACTGAAGGCACTTAAGACTTGTGATGCCTGTTGGAATGTTCTCAGAGAACTTGTGACTGAGCCGTAGCAATCTTAGTCTCTCGAAGTTTCCAATCCAGACAGGCAAACTGCCTGAGAAAATATTTTCTCCCAAATCTAGGAGTGTCCAGTTAGTACAATTTTGCAGAAAAGGTGGGAACTGGCCAGACAAACTATTGTTACTTAACTGCAAAGTTGTAATACTTGTCATCCCATAGCACTTGGGAAATTCTCCTTTAAAGAAGTTATTGGCCAAGTTTATGATCCTCAGTTGCTCAAATTTACAAATAGATTCTGGAATACTACCCGCAAATCGATTAGAAAACAGGACAAGGTGTATCAGTTTTGGAACTCCAAAATCCGAGGGCAGGGGTCCAAACAAGGAATTCATTGAGAGGTCTAAGCCCGTCAGGTTTCGTGGCAAAGGTGGTATTGGACCATTTAATTGGTTGGAATCGAGAGCGAGAACTTCCAGCAGAGACATCATTTCCATATCTGTGGGCAAACTTCCACTGAGCTGATTGTTAGAAATGTATAAATATTGAACTTTTGAAAAGGCCTTAGAGAACCAGTGTGGAAGAGTATCAATTATTCCTGTGCGTGAGAGGTCTAGATAGTAAAGATCCACATGCCACTGCAGCCATCCAGGAAAAAGAGGACCCATTTGGCAAGTGGCAAAGCTTGCATAATACAGTCTAAATGAATGCTGCCACTCTGAGTTCATCTCAATCTTCAGAGAGTTATGAGATAAGTCTATGTATTGTAAGCTGTTTAGACCAGCAAAGTGTTCCTCCGTGATCAGTCCATGTAAATCATTGCTGGACAGGTCTAACTTGATCAAACTTGACATGCCAGCAATCTCATGTGGCACGCCTCCGGTGATGAGGTTGAAAGCGAGGTCGAGGGTCTTTAAGCTTGTAAAATTCCCAATAAATGCTGGTAGAGGTCCAGTAATATTGTTGTGACTAAGGTCAAGAACAGCTAATCCGGTTAAGTGCACCATGGAATTTGGTAGGTCCCCACCAATTGACCTGAACCCAGATGCAGTTCCTCCAATCTATTGGACGAACATTGCGGTAACCCTTCAATTACCTCAGTCACATTGCAATTTAAAGAACATCCCTCCAGATCCAGGTACCACAAGTGGCAAAGGTTCATCAAGGTTGCTGTGGGGGCATTTCGATTGGGTTATGCGATAGATCAAGGTATTGCAGGGCTGTGATGGCTCCCAGTGCTTCAGGAACTTGACCATACAAAGCGGCATCCTCCAGGATGAGGTACTTGATATTTGTTAGGTTCCAGAACCAACATGATGCAATTGGGTGGTCGAACTGGTTGCCTGAGAGATGGAGCTCCTCAAGGTTTGTTAGGTTGAGGCGTGCTAGCGATTGCTGCTTTTTTGCAGTTCTATGGGAGAAACCAGTAAGGTCCAGGACCCTCAGAGATGGAATCACGTTCACCACATGAGGCCAGTCAACTACTGTGCTGAGATTCATCGACCCGAGACTAAGGTACTCTAGGAAAGGTAGGCGTGTCAGCCATGACAAATCCGTCGAGCTCGTGCTCGTATGGGAAATGTTGAGATACTGTAACTTCGACAGGTTGCCCAGCTGATGAGGCACTTGGCTGCAAGGTTGGAGTTGGAATCACCAAGACCTGGTGGCTGGTGGGTCTGTGGCTGCTGCGCATTGGTAAAGCTGTAGGATGATGCCGTGATGAGCAGCACGAACAACTAACCTTGCAGCTGCGGCGGAGCGATGCATCGTGGTGGTGAGCAGCAGTCAGCACGCACTGTATGCAGATACTCAAAGGTTTCCTCCTCCCTTCAAATGCCGTGCTGGAGCCTGGAATGAATAAAATGAACTAATTCTAGTATGGTCCGTAGCTATATGGATTGGATATTGTAGGTGGGAATGCTGTCGATGAAGAGATTCGTTGACTTGGCAGAAATGCAAGTTGAAGCTCTCTCGGTCTTTGGTCAGTTTATAGCCAGGTTTTTTGCTGGTGATTCGTTGATGAATGAATGAAAGGCTCGTGACAAAGAATGTTTTATTAGTGCAAACTGGCAATGGAGGGAGTCCAACACAAACAACGGGTGGAGATTGAAGAACTGGGAATTCCCTGGCAGCAGTCAGCAAATTTCGGGTCACTGGTACTAGCTTGGTAAAGCCAATGCCCCAAGCTATGTAAATTTTCAATTGTTGTAAATGTGTTTTGCCATTATCAATAAAAGTATGGCTTTTTATATCAAGCTGTTCAACCTGTGTGTTTTAGCTACTGATCCGGGGACTGTTATGTGATGCACAGTGAACCCCTGAAGGGAGGGGACCAATACATTGTACACAAATAAACCAGGAACTGTTCATTGCAAATAAAGGAGTAGGATATCGAAAAGGCTGATGTAATATAATGCTAATCATTATTCAGTGCTACAGGCAAAACGATTGAAACATTTATTTGATATAAAAAAATCAGTACATAAGCTGATAAGCATCTTGCAACAGAAAAAATGCTTCAGTGCTGAAGTCTTGGACAATAGGGATCATCACCCATTTTGTAAAGACAGCAAAGAACACGTACCAATCTACCTCTCAATGCAATTTAATTTAAATGGTTCCCCCAAACAGTAAGGACAAGCTGGAAAGGATGAAGGTTATCTAAGCACCAACTCAGTCCACCGTATCCTCAATCTAAATCAACCTCTGTATCTGACGTTTCTTCACCGCCGCTGGTCCCATGGAAGCCAGCATGGCAAAGAAGAGCCCACAGGTGTGTTATGTTATGAGCTCCCCGCGTCCTTGGAGATGTGTCTTGTGCCTTTCGGCTTTGGTGAATGCAGCCAAGTGCATAAGCAAACCTATCCAGAATCTCGATAGAACTTTCCAAGCAGCTTCTGAGCTATATGTCTGTAACAGCTGCCGCGCTAGCTCTGCGCCCATCTTCACAGTTGCCTTATGCTTCCCGTCGGCCGCTGCTGCCTTACCCACATGGTGTTCATGGATGTCCTGCTTGTTTTGACACTCTTGCCAAGTGTTTTTTTTTTGCGAGTGTTTTTAGCGTGGCACTCCGCAAAGAACTTGTTTGCTAAGTGCCCGAGGGAATACACTTGGCAAACATAAAAACACTCGGCAAATTTGAGGATTCCGGTAGTGCACATAGCTGAATCTCACAGAGACATGTGGCTATGTGCCACACTAGTATCCTGTGGGTGTCAGCCTCAAATTTATTTGCCCATGAAAACTGTTCGATGCCAGCTTGATTGAACACGAAGGCATTTGAAAAGTAGGAGCTCAAACTGTGTGGGCTTTGCAGGTCCTTGAGCGAGTCCCGCATTGCCTTGGTGAATGCAACCAAGTGCATAAGCAAACCTATCCAGAATCTCGATAGAACTTTCCACGCAGCTTCTGAGCTATATGTCTGTAACAGCTGCCGCGCTAGCTCTGCGCCCATCTTCACAGTTGCCTTATGCTTCCCGTCGGCCGCTGCTGCCTTACCCATAAGGTGTTCATGGATGTCCTGCAGCTATCTACACCTGCGAGTGGCTGACCAGACCTCATCTCTAACAGCAAAAAAAATACCTTG